CCATGCCAAAACTACGCTTTAATCGAGATGCTCCATTTGCGCCGCTGCTGGCCACGCAGCTCGTCCAAATCAACAAGTAAACTAGTGGGCGGATCGCTTTTGGGGGCGGAGCGCTTTCGAAGTCCTGCTCAGCAACCAGCGCACCTTTCGTCGTGAAAGCGCCACACCTCGCTTCCCTGGCAGCCAAGTAACTGATTCGTGTGGTGCACATGCTTCCCCGATGCGCTCCCTCTTTATCGTAATCGCTTCCTCCCAGATTTTAAGATTCCCTAGAGCTGCTAGTAAAGAGTGGGCTAACCTCATCGTTGTGATCGTCGGGTGAGGATGTGTGATTGCAGTCTTTTTTGGTGTATTCCATCCATGACGTCAGGCTGAAATGCACTGGAAGCCAGTATTATACCAGGCAATGTTAATAATAATTTATTGTTAGTGGACTTATTCTATTAAGTGGAAATAATCCTGTAATCATCTATGAGTTCAATTGCTACCATTACCCCCATACGTTTCCTCTGTGCAAACTGTTTGTATGTTGGCTTGAAGCAAAATTATCCGCTTTTTATTTTGACTAAGTGACTTTTCCAATTCTCCAAGTCTAAAATCCAGGTCTCCTTCAATCTGTACATCATCTCAGAAACTCACTTTTTATATGGATTGATGTGCTCGCAACGCGGTAGTGCGGCTGTTGAATTGTCCTTCTTGTTGAGATCTTCTTCATCCTTTGAGTCGCTTTTCAGTGTAGCTTCGTCCTTTGTCTCCTCTTGACCATACACAAAAACGGTGTAAACTATTAAGATAAATAACACCCGTATTGAGACCCGCATGCACCTAAATAGTGTAGCGCTTATGAGTAGCATAGTATATGTTTCAGGCGGAGAAGTCACGATACTTCCTGAAGTGTTCTCAATTATAGAATGACGGGGCAGTGTGTAGCAAATAACCTCACCTCATAAAGGCTGATAGTACGGAGTTTGTGCCCCTTTGAAATGAGACTATAGAGGTGGTGGTTAACAAAATTTGAGAGAAAACGACTTCCGAGAATAGGAAGTGAACCTCTTTTTTCCTGTTAGTTAGACAAGAAGTGACTAAGGCGACCTCGCTTGCACGCACTAATCCTGTAACGATAACTTTGAACACCTACAAGCTTT